TCAACACAAAAAAACCCCAACAAACCAACAAACCTTCCCCAAATGAGCCAGCTCTGCCTCCTCCCCAGCTCTCCCTCACCCCTTCCAGCAGTTCTTCACTTGTCACATCCTGTGCCAACTCTTTGTCCACTCTCGTCCATCCATCCCTGCTTTCCATGGAAAACTCCCTTAACTGCTAAAAACTCATGGAGGGGGAAAAAAGGGGAAATGAAGTGACAGAAAGAGCAGTGAAGAGCCATGACATGGAAATGCAGAGCTGGTCCATGGGCAGATCCAAGTGGGAGTGTGTGGTGTTTGTGAGGGTCCCCAGGATCAGGGAAGAGATGAGAATCTGACTCCAAGTTCTCAGAAGGCTGATATATTATATTATGATATGATATGATATGATATGATATGATATGATATGATATGAAATTATATACTAAAATTATACTAAGGAAAGAGAAAAGGACACATCAGAGGGTTTAACAAGTATGAATAATAAAAACCCATGACTCCTCAGAGCCTTGACACAGCTGGACCATGATCCGTCATTATATTGAAACAATTCACATGCTGGGTGATAAACAATCTCCAAATCACATTCCAAAGCAGCAAAACAGGGAGAAGCTGAAGCTTTTCAGCATCCCAGGTGAAGAAATCCTGGCAAAGTGATTTTTTAGAAAATATATCATGGTGACAGTGGTGTGGAGGGTGCTCTGGGTGGTGCTGCTGCAGGGATGAGCAAACAGAAAGGATGCTGGGTTTGGGGTTTCAGGGTGTCCATGTGACAGCCCAGAGCAAACAGAAAGGATGCTGGGTTTGGGGTTTCAGGGTCTCCATGTGACAGCCCAGAGCAAACAGAAGGGATGCTGGGTTTGGGGTTTCCAGGGTCTCCATCTGGTAGCCCATGGGTGAGCTGGAGCCAGGAGCAGGGGCTGGCACACAAATCCTCCTTCACTCCCAGCTCCTGTCCTGCCATGGGAATTTCTGTGCTCATTAAAGTCCCTTGGTGCTGGTTACCTGCACAGTGGGAGCAGGAGGGTAATCCTTGAGAGGCACTGGGAGGTTTAATGCAGTATGAGGGTAATGTGGGACATCCCAGGACAGAGACACACACAGGGGACAGCAACCTGCAGCTGGATTTTCTTTATTCACATCTGAGCTCTCAGGAAAAAATACCAATCCTATGGCACTTGGTGAATCCTGGCTCATGTCTTATCAGCAGTTAGAGATTTGTTCTTTTTTTTTTTTTTTCTTTTGACTTAAAAAAATCCTAAGGCTCAAGTTACATTTTTAGAGCAGAAGTCTGGCCAATGTCTAAACATTTTACCATGAATTGCTTGCTGTTTCTCATTGTATTCAAACATACAGACATGGCAACCAAGGCAGGAAATAGCTGTGTGTGCAAAAACCTGTGTGAGCTACAGCGGAGAGCAGCAGGGACGAGAGAGGCTCCAGCATTTGCATCAGCAGTGCTGGTCCTGGAACAAACCCAAAACCTCTGCACTCTGAGCCACTTCTCTGAGCTCTGAGCAAGCAGGGCTCACTCCAGACTGGCCTCCCATCACTGCCTGGGTGAAATCATCCCTCTGTCTCTGGAAGTGTTGGCAAATAAGCCCCAGAATGGTTTGGGTTGGAAAGGACCTTAAACCTCATCCCATTCCACTCCTGCCATGGCAGGGACACCTCCCACTGTCCCAGGTTGCTACAAGCCCCATCCAGCCTGGCCTTGGGCACTGCCAGGGATCCAGGGGCAGCCACAGCTGCTCTGGGCACCCTGTGCCAGGGCTGCCCACCCTCACAGGGAACAATTCCTCATTCCCAATATCCCATCCATCCCTGCCCTCTGGCACTGGGAGCGATTCCCTGTGTCCTATCCCTCCATGCCTTGTCCCCAGTCCCTCTCCGGCTCTCCTGGAGCCTCTTTGGGCCATGGCAGGTGCTATTAGCTATTAACCAGATGAGTTTATAGTGTGCTTTCTCTCCAGGATTCGTCTGTGCCCTGATTACAGGTGCTGCTCCTTCAGCACCCTCAGGAGCTGCAGGTGTGCCCTGGGACCATCATGGGCTGCTGCTGCAGCAAAGGGAGACTTGGGGGAGACAAAGGGGACTTGATTCCCCACCAAAAGGGACAGAAATTGTCACCCTTCAGTGGAAAAACGGCTGTGATGGGAGCATAAGGCAGGATTCAATTCTAAAACTGCAACACATCTCCCTCCCTGTCCCCTTTGCTGCTGGGGCCTCTGAAGATGTAACACAGCCCCGAGGGTTTCTAAAACTGAACAGCTTCAGTTCACTCTCACCTGGGAAATTCAGGGTTCACTGGACTTTTTTTATTTTCATGGTAAGGGGCAAACAAATCTTAATCTCTCTATTCTACATTTACAGCCCACTAAGTCCCCTTCTTATCTTCTGTGGCTCGGCTCTGATTTATCATCACCGAGCTGCATTTGTAAAACAGTACCATAAAGTAAGAAAGAGAACATTTCCCAAGGACTACTCCAAAATAAATTATTTCAGACACAGAGGAGCTGCTTAATAAATCCCCCTCTTTTTTTTTTTCTTTAGGTATTTTAGAAAGTGATTTATAAGTGCAATATCACCTCTCAAAAATGAGACAATCAACACGGGATAAAATTATCATGTTATGAAAATAGGGGTCAGGCAAAGGGGCTGTGCTTTAAATTAAACCAGGGAAAAATGTTTCATCTGAAATTGACTCTTTCTGTCTCAGAAATGAATGTTTTAATCACCTAAGAACCTAAAAGGTAACACAGAGCCCTCAGTAATATTTAATTCCATAGAAATATGCCTCTGTTCAATATTGATGGGCAGAACATGATATTTCTCTTAAACACACTAACAATGAAACTCAGAGACTCATCAGGACTTCAGAAAGCCTTGGGATTTTCCTAGACTAAGAGATAATATGCCATTTAATATTTAAATATCACTACCTTTCAGACCCTTATCTATTGAAGCAATCAACACCAAGCCTTCCCCAGCTAGGCAGGGCCAGACTCCCAGCCACGCTCTCTAAGTGAAATTAACTCTGTTTGATATCAATGGTATTCAAAATCAATGATCTTAGAGAGAAACAATGTCAAAAACCAACCACGGGGCTGAAGCTGCTGGAGAGGAAAATGGCATTAAACAGCAGCAGTATCAATTCAATATCACTGTCAAAATCAACCAACCTTTCCTCAGTGCTGCTGATGCAGAAGCGCTGTAAGCTCTAATTAGCCCTGGAGTTTCTTCCCTGAGCTTCACTTTACTTCATTATCCCTGCCTTGTTTATCGCTGCACGAGTCATTTGAAACTTTGCAAGGTATCCCCTTCCCAGGAGTGAGGCAGTTGGAGTTTGTGAGAGCAGGGAGGGATCCTGTTCCCCCTGGAATCGATAGGGGGATTCATCCCTTCACATCCCTGCTCCTGCTGCTGCTGCCACCCTGCCGTGGCACAGGGGTGACAGGGAGGAAAAGAAAGGACTTTGGGGCTGTGGCTGGCCTCCTTGCCATGGGGGATGGGGCACATGCACTTTGCTTGGTTCAGGGAGTGATGCTGGTTTGGTTTTGCCTTTTTATCTTTTATATGTTCTCTGTATTTTTCATGCATATATGTCACCGCGATATTTTCTGAAAAATCCCTTCACCAGGATTTCTTCTCCTGGCAAGATGAGAAGCCTCAGCTTCTCCATGTTTTGCTGCTCTGGAATGTGATTTGGAAACTTGTTTACCCAGCATGTGAATTGTTTTAACTTAATGACCTATCCCAGTCCAGCTGTGTCAGAATTCTGGTCTGTCACAAGTTTTTATTATTCATTCTTGTATCCTTTTATTATTCCTCTTGTATCCTTCTGATGTATCCTTTCTTCTATTCTTTAGTATAGCTTTAGTATAGCATTTCATAATATAATATAATATAATATAATATAATATAATATAATATAATATAATATAATATAATATAATACAATATAATATAATATCAGCCTTCTGAGAACTTGGAGTCAGATTCTCATCTCTCACCTTGTCCTGGGGACCCACCACAACACATATATTCATAGCTCTGTAGCACATTGTATTAGTGAATAGTTTTTCCGGTGCTTTTCCAAGACCTTTCCCTAAGCAGAAAGATAAAACAAATTCCAGAGCTCCAAGCCCCAGGAGTACAGGACCCCAGAGCTGTCTTGGTTCTTCCTGGGAAGAGAACAAGGCTGAGAACAACTCTTGGATTTCCATTCCATGGACAGAGCACAGCCAGTGCCAAGGGGGGCTCCAGAGAAGGGGCTGGACCTGGGAGGGAATTGCCTCATCACTTGTGCTGCTAATTGGTGCTTTTTGTCAATTATGCTAATTTCCTAAAACCTATAAAAATGTACTCACCCCTGTAGGGGTGGCCTTTTATGGACATCTTTCCATAACTGCCCCTGAAACCTTCAAATAAAAATCCCCCATTATCACAGAATTCCCAGAATGACCAGGTTGGAAGAGACCTTCAAGATCATCGAGTCCAACCCAGCCTCAACCCCTCACCCAAACCCTGGCACCCAGTGCCACATCCAGGCTTTGTTAAACACACCCAGGGATGGGGACTCCACCACCTCCCTGGGCAGCCATGCCAGAACTTTATCACTCTTTCTGTAAAAGCTTTTTCCCAATCTCCAACCTGTATTTCCCTTAGTGCAGCTGGAGGCTGTGTGCTCTGGCTGTGTCAGTGCTGCCCAAAATATCACCTCCTTACTAAAATGATCTCAAGCTTCATTTCCAAACTGGTGGAAAAGACAACATGAGGATGTTCCACACAGAGGGAGGAAAACCTTTTTCCCTGATCCTGAGGGGTTAACGAGGCTCAGGAGGACACCAAAGGAAGCATGAAACTGCCACCATGAGCAGGGTGACCACACTGACACCGCAGCTCTTCCCACCCCTCATGGCAAACAGCTCATCACCAAGAGTGGTGAGCTCAGCTCAGTGCTGGAAACACAGAGTGCTTTGGATGAAAGGAGAGGCACTGACCGTGGGCAGCTGGCTGGAGAGGAGGTGCCCATCCTGGCTCAGCATGTTGGACACCATGATGGCCGGCAGGTCCATGTTCTGGTAGGGATAGGCTGGGATCAGGCTGTTGGGAGGGAGGCTGTGGCACAGAGAGTGGTATCCAGTTTCATGCTCCACCAAGTGCAGGAGGGACGGGTCGGGGAGGTTGGGAGGCGTTATGGGAGGGATCTCGTAGTCCTCGTTGTTCTCATTCTGACTGTTGTATGTCTGAAACACCAAAGAGACAGTTCGCAACATGTCACTGATATGTATGAAAATTCAGAATTTTATAATGTACTTAGGCAGGTGGAGGAAAGCAGAAATATATTGAAATAACAGAAATATATTTAACAAATTTGCTCATTTAACAAATCTGCAAAAGTACAGAAGACAGTTCGTAACATGAATGTAACTTTCTAGGTAGAGACAACTTGTAAAAGAACACATAAGAATTTAGCTGCTAGGTAAAGGCTGTAAATATAAGAAAACTCAGTAACGCAAGACTTAGGTATTGTTGAAACCCACAAAGCAGAACCTTTTGCTTAAGGAGCTCCTGATTTTGGCCAGGACAAACTGACCTGAGACAAAGCCAAACCTTCACTGCGCCTGCCCAGAAGAAAGGGTCAAGCAGAGAACATCGAGGAAGATGAGGTTACTTCATCAAAGACACCCACCCAGGACCACCAGGAGGAGTGGCACCAGCCAATACTGTGGGGAAGGAATGGGTGGGAAGGGAGATGTGGGCTTGGGGGGTCAATGTGTATTTAAACCTGAAATTTGTCTCACCAGGTACACATGTCCTTGGTGGAAATACCCCATGTCTTTGGTGGAAATATCCCCATTTTTTTGGTGGAAATATCCCCAATGTCCTTGGTGGAAATATCCCCAATGTCCTTGGTGGAAATGTCCCCAATGTCCTTGGTGGAAATACCCCCAAAGTCTTTGGTGGAAATATCCCTATTTCTTTGGTGGAAATACTCCCATGTATTTGGTGGAAATATCCCCATGTCTTTCTTTGATGGAAATACCCCCATGTCTTTTGTGGAAATACCCCCATGTCTTTGGTGGAAATATCCCCATGTCTTTGTCTTTGATGGAAATACCCCCATCTGTCTCAGCTGGAATAAAACATACCTGTTATACAATTTTTAATTGTAAAGTCTTTATTCCTCAAATCATCACTGCCTCACTACTTTGGCAAAGAAAAATGACTATTTCTCTAAGAAATACAGGTTCCAGTGGAAATGGGTTTGTTGTGATAAAAAGGCACCTCCAGTCCTGCACACCAGGATTGTAACGAGGCAGGACCCAGGGTGTGAGTGTGGCATCCCTGCTCCATCCATCAGGAGCACACCATGGACCCCTGGAGGCATCCCCTTGCTCCCTGCTCCCTCACTGCATCCCTGCTCATCTCTGAGTCCCAAGAACCTCAGCAGAAAGCCCCACACCTGGAGCACAGCCATGGAAGGGCAGGGCTGCCCCTGACCAGCTGCTGCCCTCCTAGGCCAAAGTCTCTCTCTGGGCACCCAGCTCAGCTCTCAACCTACTGCTGGTATTTTAAAGAGCTTTTCTGAGAATTAGAGCTGTAGAAATACAATTATTTGGGATCAAAATTCACAGAATTATGGAACAGTTCGGGTTACAAGGGATGTTAAAGCCCATCCAGTCCCATCCCTGGGACAGGGACACCTTCCACTGTCCCAGGTTGCTCCAAGCCCTGTCCAGCCTGGACTTGGGCACTGCCAGGGATCCAGGGGCAGCCACAGCTGTGCCAGGGCCTGCCCACCCTCACAGTAAAGCATTTTCCCCTAATATCTAATCTAACCCTGCCCTCTGTCAGGTTAAACCCATTCTCTCTCATCCTGGCTCCCTTAGAATCCTCAAAAACTCCAGCAGAGGAGCTACAACCAGGGAGGGGGATTTAGAAACACAGCCATCACTCTTTAAAAACTCTTTAAAGAAAGCTTGTGTGACTCCACCACACATGGAGATTTGTCCTTGCTTACATCCCCTCCCAAATTTCATCTGGAAAAGCATTTCCTCACCTCCCTACTGACACTCCCTCGAGGTGAAACGAACATGCAGAGATGTTGAAACTCTGTCTGCTCCCCATGTTTTCTCATGCCTTGTTTACTTCTAAGCATTCCCATTTCTATAAAAATCTGTTATTGCACCTGTGCAATCATTTTCACTTCAGACAAAACCATTTTTTCTTCATAATGTGTGAATCTATCCAAAATTATTAATTACCAACACAGAATATAATGAATCTCTGGCAGAGGAGGCTTATTCTAAACATCAACTGTTTCACCTATTATTATAGCATATGAAATTCTGATTAGCTCCAGCATTACACACATGCTAAAGCTAAATTTCCCAGATCACCTAGTTTCATGGTTGGATTTGGACTTAATACTTGATTTAAGAGCAAAACCCCAGATGTTAAAAAACCAGTTAAGCACTGTAGGCTTTAATAATCCATTGTCCCAGAGCTCACCCCTGGATTCGTGCTCCTCATCACCACACACTGTGGGGGAGAAATTCTTTCATGAAATAAAATAAAAATGAAATGAAATGAAATGAAATAAAATAATAAATAAAATAAAAAAATAAATAAAGTAAAATAAAATAAAATAAAATAAAATAAAATAAAATAAAATAAAATAAAATAAAATAAAATAAAATAAAGCCTGTGATTAACTGGAGCACAGCAGTCAGTGGGAGAGGCAGCAGGGAGCAAGGAGGGATCTGTGGATTGGTGAAAGGGCACTGCCAGGAGAACCATGGAGTCCAAGAGCCCCTCTTGGATCCACCTGGGATAGTGCCCATGGCAGGGATTTGGAATGAGATGAACCTTAATGTCCCTTCCAACCCAACCCATTTGATGATTCTGTGATTCAAGGGCAGGTTCTGCATATCTGACCCAAACCTTTATGTTTACCTGAGATTCCCACTGGCTGTAGGGAAACAGGAGCACAACAGAAACACAAGAGAGAGCCTGAACCATGACAGCTCTGTACCCACTGTTACTGTTCAGGGGAAATTCAAGCTCATCTCTTTTTCCAGGCAGCTTCTGTCTGTCATTGTTGTGATCCAGGGAAGCAGTGGGCTGAGGGGATGTACTCAATGCAGACAGAGAGATCCCATTTAATACATCTCATAGCTGTGTTTCCATTTGGGCTCCACTCCTTGAGGTACACTGATTCTTTCCCAGTTATTTAAGAGGATTTCTCTCCATGCTTTACAGAAAGGGATTTAAATAAATCAGCGCACAGCAAACTTATTCCTCCAGCTGGTTTATTTTGGTATCAGGTATATAAGCAAGTGGCTTTGCCGTACTTAACTAAATTATGTAAAACCCACTCAAAGTTTCCTAAAGCTCTCTTCAAAACTACGAGTCCCCTGTGTTGCTGCAGAGCAGCTCACCCAAGGGCTTTGAGGTGGTTTTGTACAGGGTGCCAAAGCCCCAGCACCCTGCTCACCCCCAGGCACGTTTCTGCCTCTGTTCTATTCAACCCGGGGGGAAAAAAAAAGAAAAAAAAAGAGAAAAAAGAAAAAAAAGACCTGTTTAAATCACAAAGCTTTCCCAACAGCTACAGCATTTTGCAGACGTATCAAAATTACAATCAAAGCTGTACACAATCAAAATCAGATTAGACAATATCCAATCAACATAATCAGCGTTTGTCGGAGCCTGCCAGCTTTCACACCCTGTGCTACCCAGAGTGGGCTGCCCTCACTCCAGGCTGCTTGAAATAGATGGTCAGAGAGATAAGGAGGGGAGATGAGGCACACAGACACTCAGAAGGCTGGGAAAAGGTGATTTATTGTCACACACAGTGCTTGTTGGTGTGTCCACAGTGACACCTCTGTGCACAGATCTGTGCCCTCAACCCCTCTGCAGCAACACCCAGCTCCTCTCCACCACCATGTGGGCTCTGTGGCAGATTATATTTCCTATTCTTATGTTAATTTGAATTAAATTAAACAGCCAATTATGGGTTCTAAGGATACATTACAAATTAGATTAGCGGGCTGGTCTGAAGCCATTCATCCCACCAGGGCTCCGAGCGTGGAGCAGCTCGTGCTGCTGAATGGCTGCCCATTTACTGTGCACAAAAAAGGCTCCAGGATTTTCCACTGTCAAACAGATGACAGTTGTTGTGATTACACATTATTCCTCTTCAAATTAAAACACTGCAATCAGCTGAAACAACAAGGCTCTTCTTGCAAACCCTCTCGTGGCTGGTGCTGCCGGGCAGATGCCACGGGATGCTTGGAGCAGGGAAGCCCTGCAGGGGGGTGGGCACACAGGATGGAGCCAGATCCATCACAGAGGGGACACTGCCCCTCCTCTGAGTGCCCCCTTTGCCCTCAGCCCCACAGGGAAGCCCTGCAGTGGGGTAGGGACACAGGATGGAGCCTGGTCCTGTCCTACAGGGGACAGTGCCTTTCCTCTGAGTGCCCCCCTTGCCCTCAACCCCACAGGTATCCCTGTGCACCAGCTGTAGGGGTTGAATAGCATCAAACTGCCCTGAGCATGGCCTCAGGGTTGTCATAGAATCATAAAATAGTGTGGGAAGAGACCTGAAGGATCATCTCATTCTAGAGCTCCTGCCATGGCACTATCCACTATCCTGCCTCCTTCCACCATCCCAAGGTGCTCCAAGCCCCATCCAGCCTGGCCTTGGGCACTGCCAGGGATCCAGGGGCATCCCCAGCTGCTCTGGGCACCCTGTGCCAGGGCCTCAGCACCTCATAAACCTGGTTCTGCCCCGTGCTTACACAGGACAGCATCATACCAGGTACAACCAACCTCCAACAGCAGCAAAATTGTATTTTAAAACACTTCTTCCATCTTGAATACTTATTGTTTAACTAACAATACAAAATTGTTATTTAAAACACTTTAACCATCTTGAAATCCAAGTCTGAGCAGGGGTCCCTACTCCATCTCCATCCAACAGCAGGTTGAGGGTCAGAAGACAGAGAACTGGAGGGGAGGTGATGTGGGGGGTTAGAATGGGGAGAGAGGCTCTGGCCCCTGGCAAGGTGACACCCAGGCCATGTCCAGCACCAAGAGGAATCAGAACTGGCTGCTCCCTCCCAGCTCACAGCACGGGGCTGGGGACATGGTATTGGGAATGATTTGAGAGGAAAGGCAGAATTCCTGAACCTTTTGCAAGAGCAGGGGCTGGCCTGCACAGCCAGGCCCCACTGCTGAGCTG